AAGATGAAGCCACGGCATAAGGTCAAACCGAAAAGAGGCAAAGCCAGGATACAAACCTGGATCTTCTGCCTCCCAGGTCTGAACACTTTCCAATACATCCAAATTTTAAAAAATATTGTTATTGGCTCTTGCTCTGTTCAATGTACTCATGAGACACACCAGGAAGAGGAGGAAGGGGCAAAGACGGAGGAAGTGGGAGAGGAAGGCTTTTGAATTTTCCAAATAGTCCAGGCTTTGCTATGATTACACACTGTCCTCATTCTTATCACAGTGGATGGACTTGCTTGTCCCTGTGTAAACTGTAGCTGCAAAACCAGTATATGACCTTAAGTGCCAGCCCCGGGTGCAGGCTGTTCTCTGGTTAGTTAGCCCTGAGTGACTGTTTCAGCGGTAGTATTCTTTATGTGAGGAGTTGTGTGTCTTTCCTCCGAAACAGCCACTTGAGCTCTGATTACCGAACCCCGCCACCCATGATCAGCCTCAAGGCAAATTTTGCTAACTTACTGATTTGATACACTTCTTGGGGCTTTACTTGGAAATTCCCCCCAAGACTTCCTTTGGCCCACTTTCCAGCAGCTGTCTGGTTAGGCTATTCACTATTATTTTTATCTCATTTTCTAGCAAAATCAACTCAAGAGTGGAAAGGTGTTGGCCAAGCTCCTGCCTTGCAAGCATAGGTGGTTGTAATTACTATTAACCACTGCTGTACTGTTTAATTCGATCTAGAACTTGAAACAAGATTGAAGTCATCAGCTATTCTTCCAGAGCAGAAATGCCTGGATATATAGGATCACAAATGAAGGCTATGGGAAAAGGTCATTCACCTTAAATATTTATGAAGATTAGGTAGTGCTTTTTATTGATGTGGACTTGTGTGACCCCTTTGGAAAATCTATTACCTATGTCCAACTTTATTTATTACTGAGTAGGTATGATATAAATTTATCTCATGAGCCTACCTTGTATTTTCAAAGTATTTTGAAATACTTACATGAAAAAATGGACTGGACTATAGGAATATGAATTATTACTGTAAATTCTAAGCACGAGGGAAGACCATAACTCCCAAAAACACTCAATTATTTCTCAAACTAGTAAATAAGGCGATTTTAACAAACAGGAAATATTTATTGCTCAAACTTATGTTAATTAAGTAAATATTAATAAACCTGGGAAATATAAAAATGTACAGGATAGTCCTTGCTCTCAGAGAGCTTACAATCCGTCTGAGAAGAAAAAAGAAAAGCATGTAAAAATTAAATAACAATTAAGAGGTGTCGAAAGGCAATATATTGTTAATTGCCTTGTGAAATGCAATTAGCAAAGTAAGTACTGTAGGCAGAGAGAGATCATTTCCAGAAACAGTGGGCAGGGACGATTATAAAATAAAAAATTTATCAACCAAATCCTGAAGGCGGAATCCATTGAAACAGAAATGGAGGAGGGGATTCTTAGTGGAAAGAACCCAATGAGAAAAAGTACAGATAAAAAAAAAAAAAGGAAGAAGAGTATCGATCCAAAAAAGGAAAAAGAACGCAGAACTGCAAGTTAGGGTGACAGGGACAGTTCTGGACAAGAGATTGCTGGAAAGGCCATTTGGAACTAGACCTTGAATGCCAAGTTGAGAACACAAAAGCATCTTGCTTCAAAGCAGTGTTTTAGAAATATTAATTTGACTATGGGATGTCAGATTAAATGGAGTGGGGAGATTTAGAGGCTGGGAGATCAAAGAAAACCATGGCCTGTGCAGATGTGGAAGGATGGTATTGGGATGGAAACGGGAGGTGGGGGTGGGAACTATGGAGGAAGAAGCCTACTCCCTCTCCATGAGCTTATTAGCATTTATTGTTGGAGCTTTCTGTTGTTTCGTAAAGTACTGTCAAATCCATGGGTTCTGAAGAACTGAATCATTTTGACAGTTTCCAGGAGGGAATGGGGAAATGGTGGAGTTACTAACTTTGAACTTGCAACATGTAACACCTGCATAAGTGGATATGGTGAACCTTTTCTTCTTAATCTATATCCTCATTTAAGGACCAAAAAGGGTAGCTCAAAAGTGCCCCCCAAAAAGTATCATGAAATGTAGGATTTAAAAGAGATTTGAGAACATTTTAAAAGAAAGCTAACTCTAGTTGAACATGAGCTATTCCACACTTTTCCATAAATACAAGTGAAAGGAAGTCCCAAGAATGCCAGGGACCCCTTTATGCCTGCAGCCCTATGTTGGAACTCCTATTAAAATAACCTTCTGGTTTTGAATATTTGTGATTTAAGGTATTTATTATCCAGAAATTTGGGGGAGTTTGATGTACCTCTGACTGAGCAGGAAAAAAAAAGTTTCAGGAGAGTTTTATGACAATTCTAATCCCATGCTCTGATACATGGTATGTTTATACACACACATATATATACAAATGCATGTATTTATACATAAGGTACACAAATACATAGATATGTATACCTGTGGTAATGTTATTGGCATCCAGGCCTCCTCACTGAACCTCTACAACCACATTCTGGCTTTATCGCTCACAGAAATGCAATCCCTTGGCCCATCATGGGCACTTAAGCTTGGCACACACTATTCCAGTAACACCTCTTGACAGAAAGATGGCGCAGGATAGAAAGCCTCCTCCCCACATTCCCTACACCTCACTCCATGGCCCAGCACTCAGAACCCCTTTCCTGGGCAGCGTCAAATCCAACTCTTTCCAACCCCTTGGCTATTTTGAGTCTGCCTCCTGAGGATGGCAACAGAAGGAAGCCTGAAGCGGAGACAAGTTTGCAGTGACAGGTAACTAAGGCTCTTGGGAGCTTACACTAAACTCAGGGTGCAGTCTCTGTTCCTCCCCTCTTTCTAGCCCCCTTCCTCTTCTTGCTCCCCCTTCTCAAACTCCCCAGGTTGGCAGAACTCGCTGACAAGTCCTGGCATAGGGGTGAATAAACAAATCACCCACACCCATACCCACCCGCCTTGTAACACTGATTGATTATCCAGTTTGGGCCTGAAGCAAATTTATGTTTGGATTTAAGTAAGGGAGGGTGGTTAAAACTGCTCGACTTTATAAACTGAATAAGCCTTGCTTTTAGCTCTTCACTTGGGTAGCTGTGGAAATCAGTCTCTCTCTGCAAGGTAAGAATATGGGTTAGGTCCAGATGTTGATGTTCCTTCCAGACCCTATTCTTTTTTTCCAATTCGAGAAAGGCGTGTGAGCAGTGCATAACGTTTTCATGCACCCTTACATGGGTAATTAGAAGCTGTTTACTCTTCGAGGATTCCATTAAAGGCCTTTTATTTTCAAGGCTGAGCTGAGTAAGTCACCATGGCGGGATTAGAGAGGGGGCTTGCAGTCCCGCTGCCGCACTGTGTGTTCAAGGTGGCTCTTCCCCACACAGAATCCACCCACAGCCGGGCTAACAACTCGCCAATTTCACACGGATTCATTCGCCACCTCAAAAACCACTGATAGAACTTTAAATGCTATAGGATATTAATCCTTTTGAGTATTTACATATTTTCTCCTCTCATCCCTCCAAAACTAATCCTGGAGTTTTCAGAATCTGGGAACTTGGGCAAAGGAGAAAGCAACCGAGCAGCCCCAGGAATCTGAAATGTCAGCTCATTACGTCAACCAAAACTAACAGTACCTTTTTGTTTGTATTGACCCAGCTGAAAATATAAAATCATGTGAGTAATAAAACACAGAATACAAGTGTTATTACTGAACGTGAGAAGTCTGGAATGTAATTAAATGTGTTCTTCGTTCTTGGCGGTGTCATTTACTCTACGTTAACATTTGTGTTTCCTTAGGCCTCTATAATATCGACACGCTGTTGCATCATACTCACATATTCATTAGCTGGGGCTGAGGAGTGTGTGATTTTCCAACTGGTCCTCAGTGTTAGCTGTCAGATGCACAAACCTTCGCTTCCTTTCTGCGTCTACTGCACTGGAACAACAGAAGCTCCTTGCAAGAGCGCCCAGAGAGCGTTCTTGACAGATGCGCCGTTTGCTCCGGCAAGGCGCTCTGCTGGAAAGTTTCCTCTAACCACTAACACCCGCCTCCGGTCCCCCGAGCTGGCAAGGCGCAGGCTGGCTGGGTCCCCTCTTGACGGGGGAAGGGTTTTACACACACTCTGCAAGGCTGCCGGATCCGAGAAACAACCTCGCAGCCAAACTCCTCCAACCCCGGCGGACAGACTGTCCGAGGCGCTCGGGCGCCGGGAGAACGCCGAGGTCCCCTCCCCGCTAAGGGGAGCGCGCGCTCTGCTCCGCAGGGAACCTGGGCACTGGAGGTAGAGAGGATGCCCGGGGGGCGGGGGGCATAGGAGGGAGCCCAGCGCGAGAGGCAAAAAGGGCGCGGGAGGGAGCGGACTGCCGGAGAGAGTGGGGACTACAGGGGGCGGCGGGAACACGGGTGGGAGCCTGGCGCAGTAGTGGGGTAGGGGGTACAGGGCCCTGGAAGCGGCGGGCGCTGGAAGGGCCGCGCCTGCAGGAACGCGCGGGGGCGGCGCTCGTGCGGCGATCTGCCCCGGACTCCCGGGAGCAGCTGCACGGCCGGTGCGGGGGGGGGGGGGGGGGGGGTGTGGGGCGTTAGGATGCGGGGGGGGGGGAACTAGATAGGGGCGTGCCTTTGCCCGGATTGGCTGCAGGAGCCTGACGCCAGGTCCCGGGGGTTGGCTTGGGGGAGTGGGAGCGGGGTGGGGTGGGTGCTGGGTGCCGGGGTTGCGGGCTCATCGCGCTCAGAAACATGCTGAGGTCTCGGCGGCTGTTCCAGCAGCGGCAGCGGCTCCAGCAGCAGCGGCGGCGGCGACGGCGGCGACAGCGCACGGCTCCGGCGGAGAAGGCGCCCGGAGCCCATGCCTCCGGCCCCGCGCAGCGGCTGCCCTGACCTGGCCGCGACCTCCCTCCGCGCGCCCCGCCGCCCGGGCCCCTGGGGTGTTCCCCAACCACGGCCTAACCCCGCCACACCCCCCGCCCCCGGCCTCCGCAGCTCGGCATGGGCGCGGGGGCGCTCGCCCTGGGCGCCTCCGAGCCCTGTAACCTGTCGTCGGCCGCGCCGCTCCCCGACGGCGCGGCCACGGCGGCGCGGCTGCTGGTGCCCGCGTCGCCGTCCGCCTCGCCGCTGACCCCGACCAGCGAGGGCCCCGCGCCGCTGTCGCAGCAGTGGACAGCGGGCATAGGCCTGCTGATGGCGCTCATCGTGCTGCTCATCGTGGCGGGCAACGTGCTGGTGATCGTGGCCATCGCCAAGACGCCGCGGCTGCAGACGCTCACCAACCTCTTCATCATGTCCCTGGCCAGCGCCGACCTCGTCATGGGGCTGCTGGTGGTGCCGTTCGGGGCCACCATCGTCATGCGGGGCCGCTGGGAGTACGGCTCCTTCTTCTGCGAGCTCTGGACCTCGGTGGACGTGCTGTGCGTGACGGCCAGCATCGAGACCCTGTGTGTCATCGCCCTGGACCGCTACCTCGCCATCACGTCGCCCTTCCGCTACCAGAGCCTGCTGACCCGCGCGCGGGCGCGGGCCCTCGTGTGCACCGTGTGGGCCATCTCGGCCCTGGTGTCCTTCCTGCCCATTCTCATGCACTGGTGGCGGGCCGAGGGCGACGAGGCGCGCCGCTGCTACAACGACCCCAAGTGCTGCGATTTCGTCACCAACCGGGCCTACGCCATCGCCTCGTCCGTCGTCTCCTTCTACGTGCCCCTGTGCATCATGGCCTTCGTGTACCTGCGGGTGTTCCGCGAGGCCCAGAAGCAGGTGAAGAAGATCGACAGCTGCGAGCGCCGCTTCCTCAGCGGCCCGGCGCGGCCCCCGTCGCCAGCGCCCGCGCCCGTCTCCCCGCGCCCCGCCGCCGCCGCCACCCCGCTGGCCAACGGGCGCGTCAGCAAGCGGCGGCCCTCGCGCCTCGTGGCCCTGCGCGAGCAGAAGGCGCTCAAGACGCTGGGCATCATCATGGGCGTGTTCACGCTCTGCTGGCTGCCCTTCTTCCTGGCCAACGTGGTCAAGGCCTTCCACCGCGACCTGGTGCCCGACCGCCTCTTCGTCTTCTTCAACTGGCTGGGCTACGCCAACTCAGCCTTCAACCCCATCATCTACTGCCGCAGCCCCGACTTCCGCAAGGCCTTCCAGCGCCTGCTCTGCTGCGCGCGCCGGGCCGCCGGCGGGAGCCACGAGGCCGCCGGCGACCGGCCGCGCGCCTCGGGCTGCCTGTCGCGGGCCCGGCCGCCGCCGTCGCCCGGGGCCGCGTCGGACGACGACGACGACGACGACGACGTCGGGGCCGCGCCGCCCGCGCGCCTGCTAGAGCCTTGGGCCGGCTGCAACGGCGGGGCGGCGGCGGACAGCGACTCGAGCCTGGACGAGCCGGGCCGCCCCGCGGGCGCCTCGGAATCCAAGGTGTAAGGCCGGGCGCGCGCTGCCGGCTCCCCGCGCCGCGGGAGCAAGAACGCCCAGGCGCCCCTGACGGCTTCCCGGGGGCGGGGGCGGGGGGGGCGGGGGCGAGCAAGAGATCTGTGTTTACTCAAGACCCAGAGCAGGTGAACTCGAAGCCCGCAAACCGCGTCTGATTCATCCAAGGCAAACATAAAAGCCACGGACCGTTGCACAGAAAGGAAAGTTTGAGGAGGGGTGGGAGAGTGGCTTGCAGATTTGTCTTGGGTTCTTTTTTCTGTGTCTGCTTCGGCCTTCTTTGGTGTGTGCGTGTGATGCATCTTCAGTTTGGGGCGGTGTCTTTTTTTTTTCTTTTTCCCTCCAGGTGGTTTTTGACACTTGTTTCGAGGACTGGGTCGTGAAAAGTCTATCAACTTGGCTTCCATCCCATTGCAGGGAACAGGAGCAGTCAACTGGAGAGAAAAGGGGGAATGACAGTTGTCAGGACGTGTTCCCTTTGCTTTCCAGAGAAATTTCATTTTACTTCCTGAGTAATGGTTTTTCCTGTTCTTAAAGCAAAGGGAAAGGATGGATGCGAAAAGCACGTTTCAAGAAATTTTAAGCTATTCTTGGAACAAGCCTCACCTTGCTTTCTTTTTGTAGGGCAAACCTGCTGTCCCCGCGCGCCTCGGTGGTCAGGCTGAGGGGTTTCTACCTCACACTGTGCACATTGCACAGCAAGATAGAAAGACTTGTTTATATTAAACAGCTTATTTATGTATCAATATTAGTTGGGAGGACCAGGCGCTGAGCCTCTGTGACATGTGACTCTGTCCATTGAAGACAGGACAGAAAAAAAAAAAACAAGAGGAAACAGTTCAGATTACTGCACACATGGGTAAAAAACAAAACACAAAACAAGGGGTGGTTCCAAATACCATTTTTGCACAGTGTTAATGAATTGTAAAGTCCACACGATACTACTTCCACAAAAAGAAATTAAATATTTTTTAACTGGGGCAGGGGGCAGATCTTACAAAACTAAAATAAACCTGAAACTCTACTTCTGTTGTCTATTATGTTATTGAGCTAATGATTTATTGGAAAAATACATTTTTATACTCTTTTATCATGGTACTGTAACTATCCATATTACAAATATAATTATCTTAAGGATTTTTATTATTTTTTTATGTCCAAGTGCCCACGTGACTGCTGGTAAAATTTAGCACCTGTGTGTAAATGGTATTTCCTCTGTGTGTTTTACCAAGTATTTATACTCTGGTGCACCTAACTACTGTGTGAGGGATTGGTCCATGTGCAATAAATACCAATGAAGCACAATCAAGATTATGTACCGTGTGTCTGTAAGGGGTCAGTGATAATGGAGAAGACAGTTTGTTTTGTTCAAAATATAGGCTGGGTTTCCCATAGAGCTCTTTTAATAGCTTTTCATGACTCAGTAACATAGCAAAATGCCTCTAGACCAAATAAGGCATGTACCTACTGAGAGCTGCAGACTTGCCCTAAATTTTCACAGCCAGATTCAAGGTATTCTAGACTACTTACAGATGTTTTCAAGATCCCATCTACTGCACTTGAGAAGTAGCCTGTGGGATTGTGTCTCTTTAAAAAAAAAAAAAAAGCCATAGAGCCAGGTAAATCAACTGCAACTTTGCACAGAAACGCAGGGGGGAAAAACTTAACTCCTTGAATAATGAGTTGCCTGCCTGGAAGGAGGTAAGTGGCTTCCACAGCTTGTTTTTGTTTTCCAGTAGAAAATCACAGCCTGCAGATGATGATCATTGTGTGCAGATGTCTCCAGTGGCCGTTTAGAATGAAAAGTGCTTTTATGCTTAAACAAAAATGTTCAAAAACAGCTTTTTAAGTCAACACTTTTTTTTCTCTTATATAATTATATAGACTATTTTTCCAGAATTTGGGGGTGGGCAGGTCACAGGTAAAAGCAAATGTGAAAAATTTTAACTCCCCAGCAACATTGTGACATCCAAATGGATAGGATATTTTTCATAAAATTGGTTTTTAAAGAAAGGATAGTGAAGTTCCATCCTGGTATTAATTCTGCATTCTCCAGAATAAGTTTAAGTCTTTATCCTTTTATTTTTAAGCAAGCTTTATATTTCATGATCGTACAGTAAAGAAACCAAAGTGAGGATTATAAAGTTTTGACTCCGACTGAGCTTTAGCATGAAGAAACTATTCTCTAAGGAAAGCCAAGATTGATTATCCCCCCTTTTTTTTTTTTGCAATGGAATATTCTAAATATCAGGAGACAGTCTTCTGAGAAAGGTTATCATGATATAGATGTTTTAGAGACCAACAGAAGGTTGTATGAACAAAAGCTGCTATGAGTTTAATCCCCTTCTCCAGGGAAAAGAAAGAAAGGGAGGGAGGGGGAGGATGGCAAAACTTACTTAAAAATACAAAGAAAAATACTGAAAGAAACTTAGTTCAGAGAATATAAAATCAATCTCAGGATGAAATCTCTCTCGTTCCCCAAGAAATAGAGCCCACTTCTATCCTCCCTTACCCCAGGAGTATGTAAGATGCATTTTGTTAGGGGTTTTATTCATCTTTATTTCAGTTTATAGTAGGAAATTAATAGACAACACCTACAGTTTCATCTGAAGAACACTCAAGGTAATCCTTCCTCGTTATTCTGTTTAGATAAGTCCTTGTGTCTAAATAAAAAGACATTTTCCCAGCCCCATTTTCCAGGCCCATCAAACCTCAGGTCTTAAAATCATGACACTCCTTTAAACTTTAATAAACGAATATATATAATTTAACTACTTGGTCGAAACTCTTTATTGAATTGCAAGAAATGACTATAATCTTGGGACCAGTTTGTATGTATTTGTAGGAAATAGAAAAAGATTTTTCTAGGATCCCTTGAGTACTCTGAGGATTACAAGGATTCCGAAACAGACCAGGTTGGTGTTTTCCAACTATCCGTGACACCTACTTTTTACTATTTTTGAAGAAGACGGACATTGATTTATAGCAGAAATGCAGGAAACTGGGCTGTCAATCCCAACAGCTATGGCAATGGGAGGAGAGAACTGTCAATCCTGTTTAATCTGGTGAAATACTACACACCAGAAGTGACAGAGGACAGCAGTGAATATGCAGAAAATCAACCTTATTCCATAGGTTTGTGTGCAACAAATTCCAAAGGCATAAACCTTAAAATTAAAACACTGACCTTCAATGTGATCGAGATTCATTGATAAACTACATTGGAAATGATGTTGAGATTGTGCAAAGTTCTCTAGGCATAACAAGATATTCCAGCATCTATAAATGCTCCCTCCAGTGCAGAAATATGTAATTGGGATAGCATATAGCTGAACTTGCCTAGATAAAACTTGCCTAGATAAAACTTTGCAAATGGAGTTTATTTTTTCGGTCCATGCTTTCTTTGGAACTGGAATTATTAATAACTTCTTTTTTGGGAATTGTTAATAACTTCTAAGTGGCTATTGTGAAGCCTTTCCTTGTGAAGCACATTTTCCTAGCTTCTTTTAATTTTGCATTTTGAACATGCTAACTTCCTCTGGCAGTATGTAAAACTGCCAGACGGAAATTCTACACCCAAAGTATCAGGATGATATTATCATTTAAGTTTTTAGCAAAAGCTTCTAAGCAAGGGTCTAAAGGAAAATTATTAAGTTTTGCTGCCATATGTGAAAAGCTTTAAAAGAATTTTTTTTAACAAAGTTGGACCCATTAGTCCTTTTGAAGGAAAAGCACAAAAAAACCTTAGCAGTAATTCAAATTAAGCACATTGGCACAGATAATTCAGTTTTATTTTGTACGTTTCTGGCATATTGTGCTGAGAAATACTAATTCTTCTGAATCCCTGCCAATTTGCTACTAATCAAAATGGAGCAGATATGCACTGTTTGGATTATACCTAAAAATAGTTGTGCTACAGTCACATCAGCAAATGGAATTAAATTAATTTCTCTTTCTTCCCCTTCACACATACCCTCCACATTATTTAAATTTCCATCAAGAATCTTGCTCCTGAATCTGAGAATTTGTGACTCAGTGTGTCCCAAATTGCATTGCTACATTGCAATGATTTTTAAGCAAACTCCATCGGACTACTTTCTGAGAAATATACCTCTCCCAAAATTCCCACTTTCACCTTGCTTTCATTTAAAGAGTTTCTACTAAATAGCCCTTAGAATGTAATTGAAGAGGTGGTAATACTATAAATAGATACTTTGTGGATTAATTTACCTTCAGCAGAGTCTTTTTACCCTTTTATGGGAGGAGGGAGATAGTTTCTGAATCAAAAAAATTGGTCATTTGATGGAGGAGTTAATAGGCTTCCAAATCTAATTTCTCTAAAGACAGACTGGAAAAACAGCAACTCCAAGGAAAAGTTTACACTATCACGTCATAGTTAGAGCATGATCTTTGCAGTAACGTCAGCGGGACCCAAGAAAGTATTGGAAGTAACCTTCTACACCCTAGAAACCTTTGCCTTCACTTGCATGTTGTGCAAAGATCGCTCTGAACACCTGTCCACCTTCTGTACCTGAAGCCAGTTCTTGTCTGGGACCCACCACACTCACTAGTTCTTCTCTTGAGCACTTCTTCAGTTCTTCTTGAAGGAACTTGAAATATCTAGAACATCTAGTTCTAGATAAATTATCTTCATGTCAGCATTAATTTCTCATGAACAGTTTCCTAAAGCTCTGATTTTCAATATATCTCAATGCATTCATTACAATTCCTTTCTTTCCACATTCCCTTGCTTATAGCTGTTAATTAGTATTAGCAAGATCACGCTGCAATTTTCTTCCTATTTATGCCACAAAACTTACCTAAGATGCATTTTAAATGTCTTAAGTTTGGATTTCTTCCTGAGAATTTCAGTATTGCTCATAATTATGAGTGGAAAAATTTTTTTAACTATTGTTTGTACATTTCCTATAGAAGGTCTTCACATTGAGTGTACAGTATAGGGCTTTCTTAGGCTTTATTTTTCTGTTTTTCTT